AAAGAACATACAACGCAAAAGGTAGCCAGTGTAAAAGGGCCGAGAAAAACAGAAAGGAAAGGGGCAACAAACAAAATTGAGAACGGTTAATGGCAACAACAAAAAAATTTTGGCTTTTGCGCATGTCCGGAATTGAAATTTTGCTCAATTTCGTGCCTAGTCCTCGAAAAATCTCTCCTTTTAGTAAAAAAAAGCTTTCTTAGCAAAACTTAGGCTTATTTAGCGTCATGGCAGCTAAAAAAACCTGACTAAACGGTTAAAAACGGTATTTTTGGCTAAAGTTTGGTACCCGAAGGGTTAAAGCAGAGCTGGAGCTCGAGTTAAATGATGGTTGTAGCATGATCTGAGGACAGACGATGTGAACACTACAATACTGACTCAAACATACATAAATAGACTATAAATGGAAAAGTCATTTTTCGCTCAGACGGAATTTGACTGCGCCCTCGTGTTCTTACCAGGAATGTTGGCGACAAGCTGTCGTGACACTTCGGAGGTCTCGTGCGACTCTCTAATCGGACAATGAGATGCATTGGAAACTCTTCGGAGAGTTAAACGAGAATTTATCGAAATCTAATCCTGGTCCGACGTTTGTCACGTCAAAATGTGGAAACAAGTTAACCGAAAAATTGTTCAATGCTTACACTCTTCCAACCGCCCATGAGACAATTACAGAAGTTGGTGGCTCACTATATCACTAATTGCTCTTGAAACAAACGAGGCTGGCTACCATCGAATAAATTATTTATAATTAGCTGTTTTTAATTTTTATGAAAAATTACAAATAGCAAGTTTCCTTCCCGGCCTACAAGACACAAATTAAAATTTCGGTTCACACATGCTATGTCCGAGGTTCTGCTGACCTAAAAGACGCGAGAGCGCCATTAATCTAAGGCCTGAACTATACTCAAAATGAGAAGGAATTTATTTAATAACAAATAAGCCGCTTGTATCTGCAGCTAGGGGCAAACTACGCTTGAACGAAAGTGTGTATTTTTGGCACAGTGTTTCTGAATATCAGGGTTGAAACTACAATAATAAAAGACATGCAATGACGAACATAACACTGAAACTTCGTCGTTTTTGCAATAAAGGAAGGAATTCCCCTTCGTCACAAATTTATGATAGCTGAATCAATTACACATGCATGCAAAAACGACGTCAGATCGAACATCCTTCACATTAGTACAGAGTACTTATATTTACTGAAAACGTCGTCATCTGGACGAAAGAAATCAATTGCCAGGAACGAAAAAATTGTCAGCACAAAATGAGCCGGAGGAACAACAGCGAACGCGGAGATCCACCACATACCCACCGCTGAACCAGCGAACGTGACAGGTTGCAGCAGGAGAAGAACAAGGAATATGGTCGACCAGTCGCGATCGGTTTTCTTCTTCTGTCCTTGCGGTGTGTCCCAGATATCAAGCAACATTGGCGAAAGGAGCGTCGCCCAGACGGACAGAACAGCGCCCAAACCATAGATAACGGACAGAGTGATAAGCCAGTCTTCTCCAAGCACGATGTCTTTCCCCATGTTTGTTGAGCACAGTATTTAAACAAAATTGTCCACAATTATTTGTATCGTGAAAGCGGTGGGCCTTGATGAGCTTGCTGTGGAACTTGATGCGCTTTCTCCAAACTTCAATCGGTTTTCCTGCTTTTAAAGGGAAGATTAACCAGGTGAATGTCCGTGTTTTGGGGTTAAGATTTGAAACCTTTTACATTTGAGGAAGATCTAAACTTTTCGCATTAAATATTCATGCAGAGTGCTTGAAGAAACCAAGGCGACCGAGCTGAAGGCTGAATTTGAATTTCAAAACAGGATTAATAGACACCTGCTGCAAAGATAACAATGGATTTAGTAAACTTAATTCATTTAACAAGTGAAAACTTGTCAGCGATTCTTACATTCATTGGTCAGTGCGATAGAAAACAAACGGCTTTTTCTATATGTGAATTCTGAGCAAATAAAAACATTGAGTTCGTAAGGCAGCTATCGTTAACCCTAACTATGATGAATTAACCAGGATATCAAGGAGATCAAAACACTTATATCATAAGTAGTTTTTAAATAAATTTTGCGCAACAATGCCTGACAATTTATAGGAAGGAAATGGGGAGAACTACAGAAACAAGGGCAAAACTGGATGAAGGTACAACCTGAAACAACTTGGAGATCGTAGAGTAGACTCAATTTTGGAAGGTAGATTCGGATTTTTTTAGTGAAGTATAGCAAGTATCAGTAGAATTTGTATTAAAAATGCTCTTTATTCCCGATTTAGAAAATCTTACTATAGTGTTCGAAACAAAAGACAACATTTCCCTGGAGTTGTTTTCATTAAAGGCAACCGGAATAGAAATGGAAGACACAGACAACTGTAAGCATTTTGCTTTTATAGAGAAACAGTTACTAGGTACGACCGACGAAAATTAATTGTACTTAAGCTTATATATTGAAGAAAACAGGCACGAAATTGCTCAGGAAACATTTACGAATATTTATTTGACTTCGACTATTTACAAATTAAAGAAATAATTCCATGTTTTCTTACGTTACGAGACTGATGTATTTGAAGTTTTCAGTATTACATGAAGGTAGAAGCGTGGTAAAACTTTTTTCCATACTCGCTCGAAGTCCAGCAGTTTATTTCTTTTGGCCTTCAAATGTTTGATCACTTCAGACTGCTCTCTGTTCCACAGTTCAGTTTAACCAAGGGTCAGTTTTCCCGGCTCACTGCATAGCACATGTTTCGGCTCCACAAGTAAACCAGACTTCGTCAGAAGAGCTGTAAAATGAACAGTCAATTTAAGAATTAAAATCTTTGATAGACCTGCTAAAATGTCAGTACAGGCCACACGTTCTTTAGTGGGTTTTAAAATTGTTACATTAATATATCCTTAATTCATTTGTAAAGAATTCCTGCCACCGAACTCATTCCAGTGCCAATCTTAACTACATTTAACAGTTAACGAAAAAAAACACAATTAAATAAGGGCATAATTTGTTCTTACCGCTCCACGAATATCTTGCGGCGCCCAGGGCTCTTCGTCTTCGATGTCCTCCTGTAAAAAAATTTACCAAAATACAAAGGACAATTAGCTGTAGCATTACCATGTCAATTAACCTATGGATAGAAAAAATAGCATGCAAAGCCGGGACAGTCCAAACAAAGATGTCAACTGCAGAAAGCAGTTTCCTGTCACTCAGCGGTGCGTGAGGCCAAGCTCTCTTACGATTGGCTCACTTTGTAGTCGAACACTGATTGGTTAGAAATGTTTCACCTTGTAACCTTCAGCTTTCTCTGGTGTTAGCGTTCGCTTTTTCACAGACAGACCGATATGGAAGTTAAACCTCTTAAAATCAAAGGATACTGAGACAAAAGATTAAGACGACTGAAATACTAAGGGCATGTTGTGCCAGCGAGCGAGTACCTCTTCTAAACTAACTCCTCCGTTGGGTTCATCAGCCTCGTCTCCACTATCGTGTTCCACTTCTCCTCCGCTTACTCGTTCAACATTTTGTATTCCTTCCATTGCCTTGCTGTCTCCAGGATTCATGCTACAAACAACAACCAAAACAAAGGACTTACATAATGCCCGTTCAAGACGAAGCGCGTGTAACTTGGCGACATAAGCGTGTGTAACTTGGCTCTAGGCAGAATTTTTGGAATTAAATTTTAAAACTGACTTGTGGAAGTTCGTTGACCAGGATACAAAGAAAAGTAACTTTTCATTCATTCTTACTAGCACGAAAAAGTTTCTTTATGGGCATAACTTCTTACAGTAAAATATTTCATATTTACAGGGCCCTTATGGAGACCAGTTTTCTAGCTGAATGAGCCACCCTGTAATTTGAATGTCGTCAAAAATCTTCCCCAAAATCCTTCATCTGCCCGACAAGTGAAGGACAGAATCCAGTAGCCACAGGCTATCACACCAAATTTCTTCGCTCGCTGTTAGTTTGCATTTTGGAGATGTTTGAAAGTCTTAATGTCAAAGCCTAAAAACTCTTACAAAAAATACAGCCGATGTTTGCTGAATCATTCTGTGAATGTGACTTTGTTACCTCAGTGCCTGTGTGTAGTGATCCAGAGCTTCCTGGTAATCACTTGTCAGAGCTAAATAATCTCCCAATAGCTGGTGAAGCCGGGGGGTGCGGTCATGACTCATATGCTTTCGTAAACTGAAAAATAACATCAAAGCTTTTTGTATTTATGTATACACGGTTCAGAATTACAACACCTGAGCGATAGTCAGCGGATACTTCAAATGCGCATGGCAGAAGCAAGCCTTTTCTTTCAGAGCACTTCCCAATACAGGCTTAAGACATGATGGCCAATGTGGAAGTTAAATACTGCGCCTTCCTCGCTTCACCAAAAAAAAAAAAAGAAAAGAAAAGCGAAAGAATATGGTCTCGGCAGATATAGCTGTGGTTGAAGGTAAACTATTTTCTGGGATACTAGTTTGTCGACTTACAGAGCGATAGCTTTATCGTATTCCTGTTTCTTGCCCATGATTTCCGCCAACAGACAAACAGCATCAGTGTAAGTCTCGTCCTGGGCTAAGCTCTTCTCCAGCATACTGGTGGCCTGGGAAATAATAATAATCATTATCTTCGTAAGTACGAAGACCTTACGATTCTACTGTCCAATCAGAACTCGCACGACTCATGTCGAGGATTTCCGAAAGTTATCACTTTTTCTTAAGTAGTTGTCACTAGTTGTCACTAAGTTCAGGCACTAAAACAAGCTCAAATCTATTGCATTATAACAGAATTTTAGAATAGTAGTAGTCAAAAGTAAGGCAGCAATGAAATGACGAGATCTCAAGCTTTTGCTCTCGTTTCACAATTAGCCCTCGCGCGCTGTTGTCGATTTTAAACCTCCTAAGTCGACGAAATTTTCCTCCTGTTTAACAAACAGATGAGGTCAACACCCTACAAGTACCTTTTCATTTTACACCCTATCACGAACGGGATGAGAGCTGAGTGAAATCCTTACCCCACTCTACATTTAACCTACCTTGTCGTAAGAAGACGGTTCGTGAGCCATAACTGAAGCACACAGCTAATTAAAGAGAAAAGCGAAGTAACGTCAAGTTTCGTTTAACCTGTTAGCATTTTTGATTCGCTAGCAATGGGAAAACCAGCAACTACAACAAGATAAACGTCTTACGGTTAAAGTCCTTGGATTCGCGCCTAACGTCTTATGGGCGTTCTTTGCGACTGTCAGAGCTTCTTTGTGACGTTTTGCCGACATGTAACACTCAACAAGACCTGAACAGTTAGACAAAATACCATAGCAAAGATAAATGGCTTGATTCGTGACAAATGTAGCTCGATATTACAAGATACAAACAATTCAGTCTCAAGTTCTTAACCGAGATGTTCTTGTTTTTTTCCCTCACGGAATCCTCCTTCCCAAAAGATCTCAAGTCGAGTAAAATGAATTTCTCATAAATTTCTGCATAAGGTGCTTGTCAAGTTGTTACTGTATGAATGTAAAGTACCTTTCTGAGCTTCAAAGTTCCATGGAGCCAACTTAACTGCTTCACGAAAATGCAGCAGGGATTCTTGTTGCTTGTCTAAAGCTTGTAACAAACTTGCTGCAATATGTAAACCGATAAATAGATCATTTACTTCATCAAGTCTACAGCCTTATTTCTTAAACAAGTGCATCCCTGGTAACTCTCGAATGCCGCTCTGCATTAATTTGGATTTCGATTTTCTGACTGATCCCCATAATTGGACGAGAAAGCTTATCCAGCTTGCTTTGATCTAGTTAGGAGAAGACGCCTTCTCCTATAACAAGGCCCATGGTAGTGCGGTAGGGTGGTTCACGCTGTCCACCGTAGAAATCACTATCCAGTGGATAAGGCTTAACAAAACACGTATCCATTACTTGAGCAACTACGACCAGGTGTAAAACCAAAACAATCAGCACGACTTTTCTCACGTTTACCAAGATCACGTTGTCCAACTACATTTGCAAGTTTTCCGCGCCTGCTATAGGTTACGGCGATTACCGGTGCTTTGCACCAGTTTGTGGGTAACGAGTTTTTTTCCAAAGTTGTGATTGGTTTATTGATCTGCAGTTCATTCGATGTGCTTCATGTTAGAACTTAACTAGATTTTAGTTTATCCATTGACGCACTACATTTCACTGTGGACTACCAACCTTTTAATACAAGTGCTTGGACATTACGACTGTCAATAGTGTGGGCCTAAAAAGAAATACACAAAAAGTCAACATCTGCCTACGGGGGGCAGTAATATATGTTTTTGCTTTTGTTAAGCTGAAGTAACCAGAACACAACTGAGAGGATAGCATGGTTTTATGCGTCAAACGTGATGTGTGTAAAATCTGTTGAGTGATACGTGAAAGTAGTTAAAAGAGAAATGTGATGAATTCGTAAATTCGTGAATAATTCTAATTGTTTAAAGCTTACACGAGGTGTAAATTTTGTTCAAATTCGCGTGCGTACAACAGCATCAGGGCCCCTCCCCTGTGCACCCTCAACTAGAAGTATCTATTCACATCTTACTGACCTTCTGAGCAAAATAAACAGCCCTGGGTTTTCGACTGGTCGCGTTACAAAAATGGCCCATAGCAATCCACGGCTCAGGCTTGAGCTGTGTGACTTGAATGAGGTCTTTGGCTAGTCTGTGAAGAAACAAATGGACACAGCTAAAGGCTTACAATCGGTAGATAATGAGAACATACAGGAGCGACTGACATTTAACAACTTCGCGCATCATTAAGTTGCATGTCCATTATCCGTCGTTTCTCGCCATGGTATCTTGTTCCTGTCTCACTTACATTTCTTTTATCTCCAAAACAATGAGCAACTTTAATTTATTTTTTTAATTTTCAACCTTGTTATTATGGCCACTTTTTTTGTCCCAGCGAAACGCCCATACATTTTCTCTTATGAAGGCCCACGTTCTGAATTCCCAATCTGGATAATCCTTTATAATTTTACCCCGTTCATACGGCCACTCAAACCAGTTAGGGACCGTTCATTTTTTATCAGGTAGGGGGGGCTGGTGGGATTGGGGGGGGG